CAGTCCTGCTGCTCGCGGCAGGTAACGGTACAACATCCTGGCTCCCGTCCAGTACAGCCAGTTGCGTTCAAATCGCTCGCCGTCGTCACCTTCGAATACCTATTATAATATCATAAGATTTATAAAATACATTAGATATTATTTTATTATCATATTCCAGAAGGAGAAGTTTATTTCTCCATAAAACCCAACTTACTAATTTTATGTTTTCTCAACGTTTCAAGTCATTCTAAATCGTTTGAGATAGAATTGTATAAATATATATACATATATATATATATATATATACATATATATAATATATATATATATATATTTTTGATGAGTTATTTAGAATCGGGCAGTTTTATTACATTCAGTTTTTTAGACGTTAGTCAATTGTACACACTAGAATGTAAGCAAAAATTGTGGTCAAAAAATTAATTAGTTTTAAATGTTCCAATTATTAATTCCCTGGTTCATCACTGTGTAATAGTGTAGTGTATTTTTGTATAATTAATTTCTTTTTCCACTGAATGACGGTCTCGATAAAGACCGAAACGTATGGATAAATAAAGTATTTCAAAACTACTTTAGTTTTATAAAAAACAAAGATTTATAAAATAATCTTCAATTCCAAACGTTTCGACAAACAAATTGATGTCATCATCAGTGGATATTGAACTTGGTATCTTACATCTAAAGATGTGTACACAGCACATTGACATTGATACAACTAACCAGTCAATAATCATGAATTTCTTCCTTTTTTTTATATATAAATAAGAAAAATAATGAGAATTTTGTTTCACAAAAATGTAGAACAAGTTAAAGTAGATTTGGACAGAAACCTGTAATAGCTATGGTCTCTGTGTCTAATATCATATGAAAACATTATTTTATTTTATAAATCTTTGTTTGATGTATCGACCTTAAAGAACTTACTTTACATATACGTATATAGTATGACTTGAAGCCTTCTAAGAACTTACCTTATAAACGCTAATGATATATCCAGTAGTGGGTGTATGACTTCTTTTAACTGCACTAACATCTCGTAAAGGTGGACGACATATTGCAGCAACTTCACAATAAAGGTCTAATGTATGTGCTGCCGTATATCTAAATAAATTATTATTATATTAACAGATCAGGCTATTACTTAAAAATCATTAACACATAAAACTAGAACATTAATCATTGCTAACATTAAAATATATTTATCAGTGCTTGTAATATAAAATGATTGTATAAATTACACATTGTTACAAATTTATACACCCAGGCATTTATGGCTGTGTACCTAATTTCAAAATGCAAATACATTAATATTTCTTCATTGAATAGCATACAACAATAAGTTAACAACTGAACTATGAAATACTGTGACCAAATAAAAATAATTTTATTTCTTTGATTGAATTGAGTTGATTTAATTTTTATTCTAAAAAAACGAACAACTGTTTTTGTCCGATAAAATTTTATACATATCTAAAATATTCACTTAGCAGATATAAACCTTTTATCACAATTCATGTGAACGTATTTAAACAGATTTATTGCTTTTACTAGAAACAGATTTCTATTAAGAGTATTTTCTATCAAATATTTATTTGAAATAAAAACAATGATAAATATAGATATAAATAAACTGATGTGCTTCTTAGCATAATAAAGCAATAATACGAATGAATACAAGCTTGTGCATTATAATACATTGTTTCTCAAAATCGGCTGTGATAGATGTTGAAGAATATTGACTTAGTAGTCTCTCTTAATATATATATATATATATATATATATATATATATATATATATATATATGTATATATAAAACTGCATGTATTTTATAGCTCAAGAAACAATGCTTGGATATGAGTGCTGTCATGCAAAAATGCATGCGCTCATATATAACTATTCGCAATACATTAATAATAATTATAACACATACACGTGTTTACATATACATAATGTAAGAGCCCGTAATTTTGGAACATTCAACTATTTCAATTTCATCTCCAATATAATTTTTGTAAAATTACTGATGTTCCAATATCACCAGCTCTGTACATATTTACATATATACCTGTCCACCCATGCCTGGTCTTGGCAACGACTGTAACAAAAATACTTACATATATATACTTACAATAGAATTGTATTTTAAAGCGAAGGCAAAAGAGTCTAATGAAAGCATCAGAATGAAAATCAGATATTTACATTTGATAAAAAATAAAGTAAATTTATCATACAGGAATAAAAATTCATAGAATATATTTAAATACGATTGTTTTACCTTAAAGCTCTTGGTTCAAATTTGCTCAAAGAAGCACTTCTTAAATTACTGTAAAATAATGCAGGATCATTCTGCTGCGTATTGATCACATAGTATGATATAAATGGAAATTCAGCTGAAAAGTAAAAATTATGATAAATTACTAACTACTACTATAATTGACTAACTATACAATTATGATTAGACTTTAATTATTAGACTTCAGGATAGTTTCTGTATTGTTATAGTCATTTAAACTAAATATCTCTTCGTAATGGTTCTATTATGTCAAATCAGGCATAATCTAAATAAATCTTAACGTGGCAAAGGATTTTAAAGGGGCTATCTTTTCATATTCGAACACAAAGGTTCTATGCTACAACTGCTACTAGCTACTTGCAATAATTAGTTCATATTCCATTTTAACTATTTAGAAATTATAAATAATTTTAAAGTTCAATAAAAAATTGAACATTGAAAAATTCTATTATTGCTTTTGTTATCCTTTTTCCATTGTAATAAATAATTTATATACCATTTCTTTCCATATTGGCCAATAACATTCCACTAAGTGCTGTATTTGTTTGTTGAACTTCGGTCAGCAATTCTGAAGCAGCCGTTCTTTGTTTGAATAATGGATGAGCCAAAGGGGATTCTAAAAGAGGATCTATTGGTTCTAAAGGGCTCATGAGGTGAGCAAGTACGCACAACTTTGGGTCGGCCACCTCGAGGACACTAAGGGGCCCTGGCGATGTTGCGGTGGTTTCCGTGGAAGATATGGTTGAGGACGGGGTTGGCAGCTGAAAAGTAATAAATTGTATTAATAATATTAATAGTATGTAAGTCATTAAAGGATAGTAATAATCAGTATAAAGTTTCATATGACAATTAAATTTAATACATTTAACATTGTTATTAACATATTGTTTTTATTATTGTTATTATATATAATTAAATATTCTACACTGAGTTGACTTTTAAGGTCAAATAGTATTTTGATGCACAGATATGCTTTCAACCCTAGTGTAAGTGGCATTTTATCTTAAGGTAAGTTGCATGAATTAAATTGATACTGACTTAATCAAAAAGAATTAATAGAGCTATTTAGACAAAATTTTCAACTATCTATTTTGAAGACATAGTTTTTTGCTTTCACTAAAGCCCAAATTCCCCGTGTTAAACTCTTTTTTCGATTAATATTAAATAAAACCATTTCTGGGCTTGTTAGTTGAAAACTAAAAAAAATTGAACCAAAATAGTATAAATAGGACTATTTCTGTTTGAAATAATTACGAAGAAATATAATAAATACAAATGTTTGAAATAATTTACCAAAGAAGTACAAAATTTTAATTTGAACATTTGAAAACACGCACCTGTTGCGTTCGGAGTCTGACTATTCGGTCTCACGCAACATATGCGTGCGAATGTGTCAATATTCCAAATGCAAACAAACTCATAACATCTGTTATTGCATAAACGAAATTAATTTATTTAACATTTCATTGTACTTCGTGTTCTAAAAATCTATTTTATTTACTATGAACGTCAATGGTAATCAGCAGCAAAACACACTTCGACCCATTATAGCAAACTTTGGCAAACTTTTAAGATTCAACCAGTTATCATCAATAGTTATCATTTCATTGTACTTCGTGTTCTAAATATCTATTTTATTTAGTATGAACGTCAACCGTAATCAGCAGCCAAACACACTTCGACCCACTATAGCAAACTTTGACAAACTTTTAAAATTCAACCAATTTCTGCTCACACTTTCACACACATAATTTTCTAATTTTGGTCTGAAATCATTCAAAATTATATAAAACATTGATAAAAAATCAGAAAGTTGACGAAAACAAATTTATCCTGGAAAGTTACACTTATTTGGTATTTTAAGCACTATTAAGGATGTACACATAGATGTCTAACCATTTTCATCCAAAAATTTAATGGGAATTATACGAAATCTCTGTCGATAATTAAATATTAAATTAAAATCGAATCCATAAACTAAATTTCCCAAATCTAATAATTTTCAATCTATACACAAATTAAATTTACAACTGCCTAATTCCAAAGAGTATAGAAAATTTCCTCCAAGTAAGGTATATTTCGAGAATATTGTTCACATCATATCACACTTATACTGCTACTAGAAATCGTTGAGAGGACCTGATTGGTTCGAATATGTTAAAACAAAAAAGCTTTACCATTCTCCAGTTAGCGTTATGAGTTAATCCATTCAGTAGTCTCAATCTATAAAAATGAACAGTTTTTAGTGGAAAAAGCAGCATTGCTTGGAGTAAGTACACACCAACTTTAATTCTATTCATTAATAATTTAGATTAATATTAGTTATCCATAAAAATTAATACGTTGTGCAAAATGTCATCCATAATCCGTGCACACATTTTTGCACGTCAAATGGTGTGAAGCATATTCAAGGCAAGTATTGTTTGAGTAGATTTTATAGATCTATTATAGATCTAAATTTATATACATTATAGATCTACCATCTAAATTCATTTAGATTGTTAAATTATACGCATTTTTATGTGATATTTGTTCGTGGGCTTTGGAAATGGTCTCGTTTGGCAATCTTTTCTATTATGTGCTGTCAAAATGTTTTATATCAATTTATAAATTAAAAAAACTAGTTGTAAGTAGCATTTTGCCTTTAGGCAAGTTGCATGAACTTCCTTCCCGTAATAAACTCAAACAATAAAAATAGAGAATCACTGTTTAGGTAAAATGTTCAACTGTTTTAACAAAATTTATTTTTATTTCAAAATAAAATTTTCTCTTTCACTTATCATAATCAATACTATATCCTATTGATGCCTTTGAACTATACTTATAATATTTGTGATTGTATAAATTTAATTACTTTAATTAATAAATTTCATTTAATCCATTTCGTGTTCGAAAAAACGTATTTTATTTGAGTGTGGACGGCAGCTGTAATCAGTAGCTGCCTACTGTGCTAAACACAGAACGGATATTCGGCATAGATTCTGTATAAAATTGCTTAAGCGTACGGCAAAATTTTGATGGTTTTTTATAATTCAAACCGCTCATCGTAGGCCTATAATATTTTAGTATGTTATTTCAGATTGCGAAATCTATCGTTATACAAAGCTTCATCAAAATCGTCAACAAATATCTTACAGTTTTTTGCATTTTTAAAATCGATTCAAGATTAGGGGGCGTTCATTAATCACGTGAGGTTTTTAGGGGGATAAAATCACGAAATATCACGTTGGGGAGGGAGGGGTATAGTAAATATCACGAGTATTTATTCTTTATCTGATTTTTTTGTTAAAAAATCCAAACATCCAAAAAAATAAAAAAAATTATATTTTTTTCTAGTAACTAAAAATACACATGATGTTTGGTTGGAAACGAGGGTAATTTTGAATATCACCACGTATCATCAAGGGGGAGGGTAGGTCCAAAAATCCTTAAAAAATCGATCACGTGATTAGTGGACGCCCCCTTGTGGGCTAAAACGTAGGCGAAAATTTTACACTTTACTACTAATTACAAAGAAACGGCTCACATACTCACACACACACATACTTTTTCCAAATGTGGTATCATTCGATTCAGAATGACTTGAAACGCCGAGAAAACATAAGATTAGCAAACCGGATTTTTTTTGCGAAAACAAACTTCTCCTTCGGGTAGTTAATGGTATAAAAAAGAGGTACAAATAGTAAAAGTACATAGTACGATTTTGCCTCATTTGTTTGGCTTAATTCACAAGCATATTACATCATCATATTTATTATGTGTAGAATCTTAATTTACATCTACTTATATACAAATGCGCACACACACATATATATTTTTATTAAGATAAAGAAAATTCCAGTAGGTTGTTTATATAATTAATCAGGAATGAGAGAAAATATAAGCAATAATTGTTTACATATACCTTTGTTTACACATAAATATATTGCATTGCCTTAACAATAATAACTCGAATTGTGAATTTTGAAACGTAGTTAGGAATAAACTTTATCGGGCAACGTCAGATCTGTTACAAACAAGCCACGACACCGAACGATTGTGTAAACTAGGATCGACAATTTGTGTAAATTGAACTTTGAATACAAAACTATTAAGATTTCTTTTAAATTAATATGATCAATTACTACTTATTTTAATTATCATATTAATTTTATTTAAGTTATATAAAACTTGTGTTTTGCAGAAAAATCCAAGCGAGCGTCGCATCGAGTCTATAAATCAAGAGCGACCGCAAAAAAGAGGAAAAATCTGCTTTACTCAACCTAAAGATCATGGAAACAAGAAAAGTCCCCCCAAATCGGGTTAGCTATATTCCCAAAGAAGGCCCAGTATTATCAAAAAAACTAAACGAATTTGGTATTGTGCCCACATTAAGTCGCTTAAGCACAGATCCCTTGGAAGCATATCTTCAGGAGGCGGTTATTACCGCTAAGAATAGAAAAGAATACATGGAGAATATCAATAAGAATAGCAAAAGTGCTAAGCCGAGTTTAGTAAGTGTTAATAAAGATATAGGCGCTAGAGCTCATTGTCACTCGGCTCCAAGGGATTATGTCAAATACCCAGCTATAAAAGAGGAATTGGTCAAGCAGAGCGACAATTATATTACTATTAAGACAGAACCTAGCAAAACTATTCGCTCCGCTTCTAAGAAGGAACACCATACCAGCAGAAATCGTGTCGATATACTAAATGCCGAATCGCGCAGATTACTCAATAAAGATTTAGCGACATTGACGTTGCACGGTGGCCGTCAAGATCGTGGAAGTTCGCGTGGAGATTCACCGGATGTTTCGAACGATAGAAGAAGACACGACCGTTCAGCTCACCATGCAATATCCCAAGCATCACCTGTCAGGGATGATATGAATAAAATTGAAAGACTGAAGTTGAAAGATGAATTAGGTGTCAAACATCGAACTCGCGAAGACGGCAGCCGAATGCATATGCATAATCGAAGAAGCTCCAAGGAAGATAGCAACAGGAAGTCTGGTAATAGAAGCGCCATAGATGATCTGCCAAAGTATGAACGGGCAGCTTCTACTGTTCACAAGGATTTATCTGCTGCTACAAAGCCTAAAGTAAGAAGCGCGACAAAAGATGACGTGGGCCGTGTACATGTAAGATCCGCCGCGAAGACCGAAAGTACTATTTCGAAACGTACGCAACCAAAGGTTGATTACAGCCCTTCCTTACGATGTCAATCAAAGGAACGCTCGACCAAGTTACATGAACGCGCTACAAAAGAAGATTATCACCGTCGCCGAGATTATTCGGATAGGGAGCGTTCAATTGCAAGCGCCCGAAGACCAGACTCCTCCAGGAACGAAGTCGTTAAATTATTCAGCAGATCTGCCATGAAAGAAGAAGAAAGATTAAACCGGGAAGCAAGAGCTACCGATACCGACTACTTGTAATAATAAGAATTATAAACTGGATCAAATATTTTTGTAATTGATTTTAAAACTGTAAATAAGATTTTCTCAACTAAAATTTTATAGTATGATTTTATATGTATTTTGACACAATTGTATAAATTTTAACTGTTATATTTCAAATTTTAATATATTCAATATAAATACACAAAAAGAATTTTCTTCTAAAAATAAAAAAATGCTCAGGATACGGCGATAATTTTATACCCAACAACTTATGACATCGTGCCTTAAGGCAAATTGCTGGAACCTCCCGTATCGTAATTCAAAATTTTTAAAAGCCAAAAAGAAAATAGATTTTCTTTGCGAGTTTTGATTTTTTTTTTAACATTTTCTAAAGTTTTGAAAATATTTGAAAAATTGAATATTGAAAAAATGCTTTTTTAAAATACCTATATTTTTTTAAAATTTGGAATTTTTTGAATATTGAATTTTTCTTAGAAATTTCTTAAAAGTGTTTAATAACGTATCGGTTGATTCAAATTACACAATATCAGTTTTTGGACTGCTTAATGGCATTTTTCGAAACTTTTTTTTGACCTCCGAACCTGCTGGACCTGCCTCTGTAAAAACTTAATTCTTCATTACGTTAATACAAGTGGAATGTTTTTTGATTCATAAATCGGATGCTCCGTTCTCTCAAAATCTTAATTTTTTAAAACTTTTTTCGATCTCCAAAACCGCTGGGCCAGCCTTTGCAAAAACTTAATTCTTCATTACGTCAATACAACTGGAAAGTTTTTTGATCCATAAATCGGATTCTCCGTTCTCCCACAATCTTAATTTTTCAAAACTTTTTTCGATCTCCGAAACCGCTGGGCCAGCCTTTGCAAAAACTGAATTCTTCATTACGTCAATACAAGTGGAATGTTTTTTGATTCATAAATCGGATGCTCCGTTCTCTCACAATCTTGATTTTTAAAACTTTTTTTTCGATCTCCGAACCTGCTGGATCTGCTTCTGCAAAAACTTAATTCTTCATTACGTCAATACAACTGGAAAGGTTTTTGATTCATAAATCGGGTGCTCCGTTCTCTCACAATCTTAATTTTTTAAAACTTCTTTTTCGATCTCCGAAACCGCTGGGCCTGCTTTTGCACAAACTTAATTCTTCATTACGTCAATACAACTGGAAAGATTTTTGATTCATAAATCGGATGCTCCGTTCTCTCACAATCTTAATTTCTTAAAACTTTTTTTTCGATTTTCGAAACTGCTGGACCTGCCTTTGCAAAAACTTAATTCTTCATTACGTCAATACAAGTGAAATGTTTTTTTGATTTATAAATCGGATGCTCCATTCTCTTACAATCTTAATTTTTTAAAACTTTTTTTTTCGATCTCCGAAACCGCTGGGCCAGCCTTTGCAAAAACTTAATTCTTCATTACGTCAATACAAGTGGAAAGTTTTTTGATTCACAAATAGGATGCTCCGTTCTCTCACAATCTTAATTGCCATTTCTGCACTTTTTGCTCCGTGTCTCCAAAACAACTGGACCAACTTTTGACTAAAACTAATCAGCACGTCTCCTTATCAATAGGAATCGAATAATTCAAATTGGTTGAGCGTTGCTCTCGAAAACATGGAAGAAAATTGTATCAATACATACGTATATACTACATACACACATACACAAACATCTATTTTTTCTGAGGTATGCCAAAATGTTCAGAAACCTCTGAACTTACCCTACGGGAAGTTAATATTATACAAATAGATAAACTTTTCTAAATTAATTAGTTAGTGTACGGTATCATGATTGATTTCCATCATCAATTGTCTAATCATTTAGTTTTTTTTTTTTAAATAAAACTTACCGGTACTCCAGCTGGTAAAAATCTGTCTAAGCTATGAACGGGTATTATGAAGCAATCTTTATCTAATGTTGCTAAAGATATTGGCTCTGTTCTAGGTTGTGCATTGGTAACGACGGTCGTGTTCGTTGACCCGCCACTAAAACTTACTTGTCTTGTTGTGCAAGGAGTTGGCAAATCTGAATTCGTATTTCGTCTCACTAAAAAAACATTCATAAAATATTGATATATTGTTTTCCATTTATATCATTTATTTTTGAACTTAAATATGGATAAAGCAAATTTTAATCGATTTTTCACAGTTTTAGCATTTCATAAAGAACTTAGCACCAAGCACACAATTTGAAGGAAAAAGGTATATATGAACTATTTTATATTACATTTTACCTGAAGGAGTCCATTTTAATAAAGAAACTGATGATCTGCGATCAACTAACGGTTGCGGCATTTCAAAATCTGATGGAGACACCGTCAATGAGCCGGCTCCACCAGTCACGGGTCCACATCTGGGTTCTGAAACCATACTCGACACAAAATGTAAGTCACAAATTTGATATAAGAAATACATATATTAGGGTGGAATTTCTTTGTTCCAAATCCCCCTGGATTTTTGGATATCAAATGCTTCCAAATTGATAAAAAAGAATTCTCTGAAAGTCTCAGCTTTTAATATTAACTCTAACATAGTCCGCACTCCAACTAGAGTTTCTTGGTTCTTCTTCCTAAGTAAATACTTATGAAATATATCAAATTTTGGTTGTAAATTTTCTATTTATGATCAAAATAAGTAAATACAATGTTATTCTCAAAATTTTGACTCACTTGTCGCTAAGTTATGAAACGGATAGAATTTTAACCATAGAAATTTTAGTTGGAGTACGAACTATCTTAAAATGAGTATTAAGAGCTAAAACTGTCAGAGATTTTTTTTTATCAATTTGAAAGCATTTGAGCCCCTAGGAGCAAGGAAATTCGAAAACATCCATATTAAGGATATCATATAATATTATATATATATATATATATATATATATATCAGAAGGTAAAAAAGATATAGATAAAAACAAAGATATCCATCCAGGTAATAGATTTCTTTGCCTTTTCCACACAAATGTAATTCCTTATCTATTCATAGAATTCGATATACATTCAACTAAGCTATTATAAACTAAAGGAATGTAAAGTAATTAATATCAAAACAAAAATGGAAATATTTACAGACTAAAAAATAGATATAAAATATTTATTTTTGCTCTGACATGTTTCTATTTAAGGGGCACGGAGAACTATATATAAAACATGTAAAAAAATTGATAGTGATCAGATCATTTGTTTTTGAGTATGTAATCGCTGCAGCAAATTCGGAAAATGCTGTTTCGAGAAAAACGCGTTAAAGATTAAATGATCGTTATACTATATACTATATATATATACTCTTTAAATGATTGTGACAAAAACTATTTAAGATATCGATTTAAAATTTTGGTATGTTATTTTTAAAGGTATAACCTATCGAAATAAGGAAAAATTGAAAATTCGATTTTTTGAAAATTTCACACTAGCTGTGTCCCATAATAGATCAATATAATGATTTCATAGATCAGCTGATAACAGCATAAATGAAAATGTCGATACATTTGTTATAAAGATTCTCAAAAATCTTGATTTTTTATGTTTGATCATGAAAAATCTTTTTTTTAAAAAAAAACATATAATAAATTTATTATCCAAAATATGCAAATGATATTCTTTGTATAGTTTGTCTAGAAAATGTACGCTAATAAGCTCCTGCATATGAAATCTTGCCAAATATAATTCAATTCAAATGAGAGCCCTTCATGAAAAAGAAGCAAACAACACAGCAAAATTACCAAAATATTACGTTTCAACACTAGACATATGGATTTATGACTGGTGTTTTGAAATCACTATAGTGCATTATTATTTTGTTTGTATTATTATTATTGTATATAACATTATTATTTTTTTAGCACCAAAAACTGCTTGAAGAGTCAAAATAAATAAATTACAAATAAGCAAGTACTACAATGACTGTACCAAATACAATATTTTTGGGAAATTATATTAAGAGAAAAAGAAAACTGAATTTTGAGCCAACAGAAAATACATGAAATTAAAATATGAGATGCTAATGTGCTCTCACAAGTTAAAATATTACACATAGTACTCTCTATATAAATATAAATTAAATAGTGATTACTGGTTAACTATAACCCTTGATTTGAAATTAATTGCATCCATTATTATTTCAGCTAATTTGCTTCACTATCATGCAAATATTGATTTATAAAACGTGTTTGTGAGCTGGTAAATAGATCCACATGATATTTAGATCATAGTCATGATTATATATATATATATATATATATATATATATATATATATATGTATGTATATATATATATATATTTATACATATATATATATGTATATATATATATATATATATATATATATACATATATACATATATATATATATATATATATATATATAGTTTAGAATAACAATGCAATTATTAAACTAGTGGTGTATGGCATCGTGCCTTAAGGTAAATAGCTGGAACTTCCCGTACCGGAATTAAATATTCGAGGAAAAAAAAACAGCAATCAATAAATAATTTGAATTGTTTCAAATACAATGGCTTCAAATATTTTCAAAAAAATTATTATAATTACTATATATGTATTCGTTCATATAACTAATATACAGTGGCGATCTTATCGCTCAAAACACTTGAAAATGACTACATAAGGAAGAGTTGCTGACTGAATTCAACTGAGGATATACGTGTATTTCTTACGATTCCAACAACCCATATGAAATATATATTCATTTTTAAACTAAATTCCAAAGTTAAAATTATTTATTTGAAGTATATAAATAATTGAGCTTTAGAACTTTAACTAAAAAAAATAAAATTCGAATTATTTTCGATATTCAAAAAAACTTTTTTTGAAAATAAATAAAAAAAAAATCCAAAAGCAATCGTTTAACACAAGCAGAAAGTTTGTTGAATCATTCAATTCGGATGATTCTCAACATCTGCCAATTTTTGAAAATTTAGCTCAGTATCTACGAAACGGCTAGACCTGCTTTTGCCAAAATCTAATTATAAGTGTTAATAAATAAATGTTCACAACTGAGATAATACGTTGTGGTTCTTTAATTCACGCTGTTTGTTATTTCTAGAACTATTTCGAAATTACACAAAAAGCTGTTTCCGACTATATCGACAATTAATTATGATTCATTCGCATATAATAACATTAATGAATAAATTGCGTGTTGTAAATATCAAACAATTCGAAAAGAGCTCACGTAATTCCATTGAAAATAAAGCTGAAGTTCATTAACTGATAAGAAAAATACAAAGAAATTGTAAGTAGGATAAGTTAGCACGCAAAATTTCATTGAATTTTTTTAACTTCACTACTTATTTTCTCCTATTGATAAAACTATTATACAAATTACGATAAAAAATCTAAATGGCTTTGTATTAATAAAAACGCATTACAAACCTGTAACTTCGTATTATCTGGGAGTAATTGGATTATAAATTAAGTTTGTTGCACGCAAGTAGTGAGTGGAATATTTTAACAGATATTTAATAATTAAAATATATTTAAGTTACATTTGCAGATATATTATATAAATCTACATATCTACTATTGATTATAATGTAAATATTTCCGATAACTCATCTTGATAGTTATAAAAAAAATATTATATTCAAGTTATATTAGTAGTCGTTTCAACATATGTAATTTTTCTTGGTTGTCCATTAAAAATTAAATATATATATATATATATATATATATATATATATATATATATATATATTAGAGCGGGGCTTAAAGGACCGCTGGTAAAAAGGTCCACCACCGATATCTCAAAAACAAGTAAAGTTAAGATTTTTTTCAACAACAATATCTGAAAGTAGAGGAAAAAAGATGTATAACCAGCCATTACTTTGATTCTTACAAAAATCCATAGCAGAAGTATTTTCATTCGTTGTTGATTATTTTGGTTGTGAGCACTGTTGTTTAGTTTACCAGACCTTAATATAATTTTCAAGTCAACGTTATTTAAATATTTTATATTTATTTAATGTTATTTTTAAGTTAGATTCAACAGATTTTTCTATAAGATCTATAAAAGCTTACATGTGGGTAGGATAAAAAGGACCATTTGAGCCTTTACTCTGATAAAAGTGTAAACAATAAAAAATACGAATGAAAAAATTAAATTAAGTTAAAAAAAACAATTTTACAAGACATAAGTTGGATAAATAGTTAATCCAACTCTGCTGTATTTCTGACGAAATACCAGATCAAGGTTATATACTGTGTTATCTCTGTAAAAAATGTACCTAGGAAATTCATATTTTGCATTGGTTGAATATTGTAGCTAATAATTCGTAAAATTCTTCTAAAATTAAAAATATGGCATTATACCTGTTTGCCCCTGGCCCATTTTAGTCTATGGGGTAAAAAGGACCAGGCGACAAATTTTTGAAAAAACTGCAAAACAGGTCTAAACTCTTATTTTTAATTTCAAAGGGATGTTACGAAATAATAGCTACATTAGTCAACAAATGCAAAATAAAAATTGCATAGGTATATATTTTACAGAGATAACATCGTATAAAACCTTGATCTGGTACATATGATCCGTCCCAATCTACCTCGCTCATGGGAATCAGGTTACAATTTTTGGAAAAAAAAACTTAGTCAGATCGTTGTTTGTCTGATATGTTTTCTTTGCTGTGAAATAATTGGTTTGGTTTTCTAAATTTAATTGCTCGAAGTCAAATTGTATCTTTGTGCCTCGTATTACCTTATATTCTAAAATTTTTTTCAAAAAGTTGGACTATATAAATATAGGTTTATAACAATTATAAGATGTAATTACAGTAAACGAACTAGATTGATTACTTGGATGAACTAGGCAACATAAATAATTATCATAGCTCATATTGATTATGCGACAATAGGTATGTTAGAATGCTAAAGATATATTATCCTATAATTATGAGGAATAAAGGTTAAGGTCAGAATTGCTGCTACTAGATAGACAACTCCGTCATGACATGGAACTAACAGCTCGTAATGTAATGTACTTTCAACGTGTGTAGCTTTCTTGGTTTGCTCATTCGGCATAATTTTAAACTTTTATGACTTCAATTGTATCATGAGTATCGATTTGTAGACACAAGCATAACGAGAAATGAAATGTCAAGACAATTTTTAATAAAATATACATACATAACATGTATAGGGTGGTCCTTAATATGGACATTTTCGAATTTTATTTTGCTCCTTAAGGGGCTTAAGTGCTTCCAAATTGATAAAAATTTTTTTTTTCAAAGTTTTAGCTTTTAATATTAACGTTTAGATAGTGCGCAATTCAATCAAAGCTTCGTATGGAAATAGCATGGAAAAAAATTCGAAAATTTTAAAAATGTTTTTTTAGGCATAACTTAGCGACAAATGAGTTAAA